ATTATGCTCAATAATCATCTACAAGTTTTGTGATAGGGATTTATGCTGGGTTGATAAATTATCCATTTATTTCATCACTAGCTGTTGCTCGCGTCTTCGCACGTGTGAAATTTAAAAATGTAGCTTTTATTACTTGTAGATAAATTACCTTTCTAACGGTGAAAGAATTATTAAAATCGGCCCAGCAGTTTTTGAGTTATTTCAATACATACAAAAATACAAATCTTTCCGCTTTATAATATTGGTTTAGATTACCTACTGATTCATTGTTGTTGATTGAGCTGAGTTTCATAGAAGTAAAACTCAAGTTTCGTAGTTCAGAAATGCATTTCACGAAGTTAACGACCAAAAACACTAACGAATGATTTTTTCACATACTAATATATGTAGCAGTTATTTTTGAATAGTTTTTTTACTTTCAACTCTAATCTTTTACAGACGCACAAAATGAAGACTATCATTTCTCTTGCAACTTACCTACAAGATGTTTTTAAAAATGTTAGATTATTCCGTTTAAACGTTTGCATCGTCGCTATCTTGCAGTAGACGGTTTCCGCACACTCGACTGCACTCGGTGAGTTGTGCACTATTCTGATGCGAGCATTGATGTTTGAGACATTCTGCTGCAATAAATTGATACATATTCACCAGTAATTCTGGGACATCTCTCAAATATATGGTATTTAAGATATCTTTACTGAGATTAACAATAATTTGGTTGCTTTATTTGGTTAAATATATACTTGGTTAACTGTTTTATTCGTATCCTACCAGTGTTTTTTTTTTTTTAAATGAAATGAGTGATTTTTATTTTACTTTATTTATTTGTTATTTAAATTTATTTATTTTGAAATACGCAAATTATAATTTCAAATGTTAATAAACATAAAGTTAATTTATTTTAAATGCCAAAAGCAATAAAAGTTTAATTTTGTACTTGTTTAAAATAGCTCTATAGAAAGGACATATCGCAACATCGTATATGAGCGAATAACATTAATGTAATTGAGTGGGTTTGTAATAAAAAATCAACTTTAAATGTATTGTACGAGAACACTATTTTCAGTTGGCAAATAGAATTTGGGGCGGAATGTTATCTTTTTCGCGTCCCAACAAATGAGAAAAAACTGGGGTCCGGCGGACGAACTTTTTAATTTGTAATTACAGGACAGCGTCCAAGCTTTAAGCATCATTAACTTTTTTCGTAAATGTCTGGCTTCTATGGGTTCCGTTCTATTGCAAAGGAAGAGGACATTTTATTATACGTCTGAATTAAAATTACTCTCGGATTAGATGAACGAACCAAGTATCGTGTGCCCTTATAAGAAAATTCTTTTCTGAAACAAAACTGGACCTTATCGTATAATATCTTTAGGAAAAAGATTCGACCTTCGATAACTATATAATAAAACCAAACTGTCTTAAAAGTGAAAAAGTGTATGCATCTTATGTCTATAGAATCATCTAGACAGTTTTAATACAATATTTGTTTAACCATTTTACTGTTGTAAGATGGCAATCGATTTACTAAATAATTTTATTCAAAGTTTCTAAAGGTCAAGTGTATTTAATCCCAAATAAAATATTCAAAACTGTGACATTTTCATATCAAAGTTACATTATATTTAAGACGCACGTACTTGTAACTCGTAGATTAAAATGAATCTCAAACGTAGCTTTGATCCTTCAATGATTGCGTCGCCTCACAATAGATCAAATTTAGGTTCTAGCGAAAAAGACGCGCACTCAAAATCTCATGACGGCATGTTTAACTGGGAGATACTCGAAAAGTCGGAAGCCTCGAATCACATCGTTAGCAGATCGTGTCTGACGACTTTATTGCAAGCCCAAAAGTATTGGGAGACTCGAGTACTCTTCACACCTCCCTTACGCTAGTTATCACATTTTTGATGTCCCTTTTTGTACATTCTACGGGCTTTTGTGTGCTCACTTTAAACTTCAAATGTGGGTTATGAGAAATGACATATTTCTATTTTACCTTTACTAATATCAAAGGAAAAAAATGTATTAGGAACCGACTTTTTAACACTTAGATGTTTTTAATTTGGGAACAGACTCTAAAAGTAAATTTATATTTCCATTGGATTAATAAAATTAAAACTTAGTAACTACATATTACTTTGTTAGTGTTCCAAACATTGTATCATTTTAATCTCGTTTTTAGGATTACGAACTCCCACTATACGACTACATAAGGCCCGGCAATTTCCTAAAGAGCTATCCAGTGTCCGCTTTGATTTTCCCTCTTGCCGAACTGAAGTATCTTGCAGGACACGCTTTTTCAATTTGTCAAACGAGCTACCATGTTAGGATCTGTTACTGTCCTAAAACTTTATACACTACAAAATTTCTAATGATCGACAAAAGTTGAAGGTTTATCCGTCCACGCAGAATTAAAAAAAAAAAAGTAGCCTATGTGTTCTTCCAGACTATTTTCTACGTTTATGCCAAATTTCATCGAGATCCTAAAAATTTAGGCTACAAACTCTAACAAACATCTATCCATTTAAACTTTTGCATTTATAATATTATTAAGAAAAATTATAAAAAGCAAAGATTTGTATTTTTGTATGTTTTGAATTATTTAAAAAGCACTGGGCCAATTTTAAAAATTATTTCACCGTTAGAAAGGTAATTTATCTATAAGTAATATGGCGTATATTTTTATTATTTTTTATTGAGCGGCGCGGGCGTAGTCGCGAGCAACAGCTAGTTTGATATAACCGTTACTCATTTACAACGCTATACTCTATGCATACTCGTAATTATGTTCAGTGTTAGGGTATTGTGTAACATAATACTATACAATTATTTACACACCGACTGGATTACTCATCTAAGCTTAATCTCTTGTTATTATAACAATTATGGCATGGGATTTCTTTTAACCTTGGAGTAACAATAATTATATAAACAGTTATATGCAGACCTTCAAAACAAAGAATGGAATAGAGCCTACAAAAAATTTCATTAGATAAGACAATTACAAATGAATTGCTAATATTTTACTGCAGGAGTCAAATCGCAGTTTAACTTCCCAGCAGAATATGCTTTTTTACTTTAATACTCTTAATGGGCATACACAAATTAATTCTGTAAGCAAAACACAGCGTCGGTAGACAAGAATGAAATGAACAAAGACATGCAACGTAAGCGGGTCTCATAATTCCTCGTATAAACCCTTCTTCTTAAATTAAAGCATTTCCTTTATGCTGAAGACTCGAGGCAGACGTCAAATGCATTGTTTTGTGACCCTCACAATGACTAACGCGAAATTGTTCTCATCGCACCGTGAAAACACCCTCGCAACGAAAAGATCATTATGACTTTATAAACAGCAAACACAGTCTTATCCAAGTCAAATTCATATTTTAAAAGATGCTTAAAAATTTTGAAACCATTATAGTGACTGGTGGGCTAAAGATTGTAGAATAATTAATACTTTTTAAAATAAATCGAGTAATTTCTTAAAGTAGCTTTGATAGTTTAATTAAAAGAGAAATGCCAGTGGTTTATTAATTAAAACATATTTTTTTAGGACCTTTGTTTTTTTTAAATTTCAGATTAATTTATTCAAATTGCTGATATGTAGATGCTAGATTTATGATTAATTGCATATTTATAATAATTAGTTATAAATTTGAATTTAGTTAAAATTTCCGATGATCTAAGAAATTAACAGGTTTTAAATTTATGTGTAAATGAATATGTTTTGTTCGTTTGTATAGACAGACTTATTCGTCCCACTATTTAATATTGATAAGTTTTTTCCATCATCATCTTCCTGTCCTTATCCTACTCCCGTTGGGTCGACTCAACATTATTTTGTCCTCCAAGTTAATTTCCCGTCAATCCCTTCTTGATCGTGTCACGCAATCCATCCATTATTTTCCCACAATTAATAGAATATTTAAACCCTTTATTATAATAAAACAATGAAAATAATATATTTCAACTCTTTATAAACTTTTGCCAATATAATTAACATTTCAATATAAGCTTTATAAATATATATTAAGTTAGGAATCTGAATAATATTACAATTTGAAAACGCTGAAAAGTTGACTAAGTCAAATCCAGTATTTGCATTTCACAGCTAGCGACCTCTTCAAGTGCCCTGTAATGATATTTTCACGTATGTTTCTTCAATTTTATATACTTTAAGTAAAATTTATTCTGAAAACTTAGTCAAATGACTCTGAATTTCGTTTTCTTTAGAATTTGTCTTTTTAATAAACTTAATTCAAATTTAAAAAAACATTATTTTTTAATATATTTATATACAATCTTTAGATTTTACAGTGCTTAATTTTTTTTAAATATGCACAGAAGTAACTGAATTTTTACTTTATGACTTTTCTATATTACTAGTGTATTTTTAAAACCCATTATTATGTACATATATCTATAGGTTTTACTGTAAAGTGGAGTTCATACAATTAATGACGGCTTAAAGTTTTCCAACGCTGACCAACGGGAGGTATGTCTGGAACGTCCACGGTTCGGGAAAAAGTTAATAACGCCTGACGCCGCCCGCGCCCCCTATCCGCCGCAATTATAAAATTTATACGTTCCCTAATACCCTTGTTTGTTTTCTGTTAAATTATAACAACGATGTGAAGACTTTATCCATTTATTTTAATATTACCCTATTTAAAATTTTTAAACCTCAATACAAGCACAACAGGACAAAAGGTAAATTATTGTGTTGTACATACGCTTTTAAGACTAAAAGTTACCTCAAAATAAACCCGGGAAAAAGATTCAGATGGTTTAAACAATTCATTGCTTGTAATGTATTCAGGTTCTAGACGTTGACGACCAGCATAACTGGTTTCTATGGAAATCCAATTCAGATATAACCCGCGCATAATGTACATTATTATCAACTTTGATATCCTGTTTTGATGAATTAAATAAGCAATATCAATTATCGAATGTTTAAATTAAAAAAGTCAGGAGTAAAATATTCTCAATTATTATTTCTTTTTGTCCTTTTCCGTTTCCGTAATAGATATACCCAGAACATAACAAGAGAGTTGTTCGTCGTTTTCATTCAATACAGATAGTATCACTTCATATTCCCCGCAGAACTCGACACACAGGAAATCTTTAGCAAATTCCAAGGATATAAGCAGATCTTGTATGGGATAAGTTTTCTGAAAAAAAATTATAAATCATTAAATTATACGATTTTTCTTTTATTAATGTCCTGAATCATTGCACAGAACAGTTCTCTTTAAGCTTTAGTGCATTTTTTTCATATAACTGGAACTACTTCTATAAGAACCTTAGAAATCAATATCGTTGTTAACTTTTAGAGCCCACGCACACCTTTGACTAGTCTATCGCACAACTGTTTAGTCGCGTTTGGATTCCTATCAGCTTATATGGATGTGCGTACTACTCAATTTTTATTTGTGCAACTAAACATTTAAATTAGCTGACAAACAATCGACAATCGCACAACAATTTTGCGATAGTTTAGTAAAAGGTGTGCGCCCGATTTATGCATATAGTTTTACATAATTATTATTTGGGTATCCTTTGTAAAAGTCCAAGTTGAAAGAAATGACTTTGTTTAAGAATGTTGGAATAATGCTAAACTTACCGCAGACACAGGGCAGTCGGACACGTTCATGCTGACGACCAGCGGGTACCACGGCGCTTCCTCGCTCTTTAAACTTTCACATACATCGGTCACTGAGGCAAATGTGAACTCCTTACCCACTTCCATTAACTTCCAAACTTCTATGCTTATCTTTAAGAATAAAACCCTCATTGTATTAAGTATTTGTGAGTGCCTAGTTAAAATTTTAAATTTCTGACGATCTGTATTACTTTTTATACAAAAAGGCAGATTACGTGGGGTCACAACTTTGACCAAACTATTGAACAACTGTTTAGTCGCGCTTTGATTCCTATGAGCTCATATGGTGTGCACACTATTCGATTTTAGCTGGCCACTAAACAGTTCTTATGTTTGTCAGTCAAAGGTGTGCATCCGCTTTCAGTAGCTCCTAGTGATCAAACTAACTATTCTGTGGTTAGGTTAGGTAAGCTAGTTGCATCCCTTTCCCAAAAAATCCTTTGGACTCAATCTTCAAGAGATGTTAACTTTTTCAACGATCTCCAAAATCGGCAAAGAACTTAAGATAATCGAATGCAATGGCTATGCGTTTGAAGGAATTAAAGCAGTTTAAGCTTTTATGTTCTATATTCAAAAAGTAAATTTGCCTTGCCTTGTATCCTTTCTCAATGTTTTGTGATATTTCCATGACACCACTGACGCCGAGCCCGCCTTCTGCATTGTCGTCTCCCTCTACCAGGCCCAGTATAAAACTTTCACATCTTATACGTTTATTATCAAAGTCTTTACAACTCTTAAAATCCTCAGAGAATTCAGCTTCATAAACAACCTGTATAAATTGTTTGATATTTTAAAAATGAATAAATATTAGCTTTTAATGCATTTAGCCATGAAATCGGAAAAATATTAAACTGGTTTACAAAAAGTCAACAAGTTTTTATAGGATTATTAATAATAAAAACATTGGCTGTAGTAAATCATCATATATAAATAGTTTACGGCATCTGGGATTTACCAAAAAGATAACCTAAACGGTAAGAGAAAAATCCGCATTGATAACACAATCTCATATTTACTTTACCCGTTAACCTTAGTAATAATTCCACTCTTTATATATTTTCAACGAGTTTTTTTTTATGAATTTGATTTATAATTTTGATTGTTAAGGATTTTTGCTCTTCCGATTGTAAAGAAATTACTAGGTTACTTACTTCTCCATTAGCTCGTAGAAATACAAATTCAAAATATATCAAAATCGAAATTAACACTTTTATCGAAATGTGCATCATAATAGCAATAATATCTCGGTTTGAAAAATAAATATGTCGTTATCATTTTATAGTTTTTATATGGTAAGTGATATAAATCTTGATTGTTCAGTCGTAACTCATGGGATGAAAACACACAATTAACAAGCGTTTGTCACGCAATCATTCATTGCGTATCTATAAGGTTATCAGCTATAAATCCACTGTCATGACCAATAAACTGAGTTATCGAATCAACAAACTAACGTCAAGTTTGTCTAAGCCAAGAATTTAGCGTACCAATTCACCGTGGGTAACTACGGCCTTTACGTCGAACGCGATCGACAGAATATCGACGTCAAGGGCTGGAAGCAAAAAACCCAAAATAGACAAACATAGATAAATTTAGTGGACCAAATACAAGCTCACCCGCGGCTATAGCCTCAGATGATGAAAATATTAACCCTTGATCCAACGGAAAAATTGTAGCAATAAATTTATGTTACCAACATACTAAAAAAATCGCACGTATTTTTTTTCTAGACTAGTTCAGTAAATATTTTTATTAGGTCTTCGTCACACTGGACACTATCGATTTAAGGGTTTTGGATATCTTATATCATTGTCAATTTAAAAGACAATAAACACAAGAAATACCACAAGATTACCTGGTTTGAGAATTAGAAAGATAGAGAACTTGACGAGTCAAATGCCCAAAAATATGGTCTACTAATAAAACTTTATGCCATTTTATGAATTTTTATAAATGTATTCTGGTTACGTGAATGTTATTTGACTGCATTCAGTTGACTGATAAACTATAACCTTTTCTTATCATTATCACTTTATAACAAAGTTTAAAGACTTTGGAAAACCCAACTCAATTCCGATAAGAATATAAAAATAAATGGCAGTTGTGACGTCACATTTCACACAACTGGAATGAACTAGGGGTTGTTGTAATCAATACAAAGGCGGTATATATTTCATATGAAACAAACAAATGGGGCAAAAACGGGAATATATCATTTCCATTATAGTAGTTTTATGTAAATGACGCCTACTTTTAAACTGTCGTAATTTTTAGATTCCGATTGGAGTTTCCCCTGTTCGTATTTGTTATCTTCCAATGGAATAAATGAATCTATTAAATACTATGATTTACGACGTGTTTTCAAGTAACTTTTCTATTCTTTTTCACGAATCCTGCACAGTTATATCGAAACTTTTCAAATATGTCCAAATCAATCCTAATATCTATCCCACAAGTTTTATATAATTAGATAGACAAAAATATCAGTTTTTGGAAAATTAAAGAACGAAACTTTGAATTTTGGTCACCAGGCGTGCATAAATTTCTAAGGGTAATAGATTTAATTATGCGCATAGAATTGGCACAGCTCCACTTAATTTGATTGTCGGTGACACCTATATGCAAATGATACGCTACGACTAATTGAATACCTTTGTACGCTGGAGTATTGGGGATATGAGATGACTCTTGGCTTCCTTTCCCTTTCATAATATCATTAGAATTTATTAGACCCTCACATTTACAGATGAATTTGTTTTATTGTCCATACTTCAACAGCTTGCAAGAAATGGTTAAACAGAAAATGAGAAAACATATAATCTTTTCATATTTTTATTAAGACTAACTTCTTAGCACGTTATACGGAAGGTATTGTTAATTCATGTACTATACAGGAAATTGTTTCATCATACAATTACGTATATGACGTAATATTTTTTTAATTTAAACGTTTGAAGAGCGTATCGTTTCCTTAATCCAAGGCAAGTATTTGGCGACCGATGAGTAGACGCCGGGCCATCCATCTCGACCACAGCCATATCCAAAGGAGACAACACCCACTGATTCCCAAACACCATTTGGTCTTCTCCTCATCAACGGCCCTCCAGAATCCCCTCGGCAAGCGTCTTCAGCGAACGCACCACCAGCACAGATCTGTTTATCAGTTAATTCCGCGCCGACCTTCTTGTATTTCTCGAAACATTTCGATTTATTGAATATCGGCATGCCGAGCTTTAGTTTTACTGGACTGCGAGTTCCTGTGAATCATAATAGGAATTTAATAAAATCCAAACTAAGCAATTATTGATAATACAAATGACATTAAATTGGAACTTAACAAAATATTATTTATTATAGATAAACATACCGAGTAAGGTTTTTCCCCAACCAGCAACGTACACGTCAGAGCCTTCAGCGAGACGCAAATTGGGATCTACCAAGCAAATAGGTTGCACGAAGTCTACAACAAAAGAAGAAAAAACAAATATTAGATGGATGAATTATTTAAACGTTAAAGAAATCGCATTTTGATTATACATACAATTGTATTTAACGCGCTGAGAGAATCTTACAACAGCAATATCATCTTCCCTGTTAATTTTTCCGTCAACAAAACCAGGGTGGGGGAATGTTGACATAATGGGGACTTCTTGGTAGGGGTCCGCGCATTCTTTGTCAATGCAGTCGATTTCACTTTGAATGTCATATTCACCCAAACGAGCAGATTTCCTTTAAAGAAAGAGGTACATTAGTTTCACGCTTAACTCAATACGTATTGTGGGTGCTACAAAGTATCTACTCACAGTTTTCCGACGGCACTTTCTATTTCACCAACGACGCAGTGAGCAGCAGTCAGCCCATATCGATTGTTTACCAAAACTCCTCCACATTGATAAGACATCTTTCCTTCCTCTGGAAAAAGAAATATAAGATTAATTTTTTACCCTAAAACATATGCAATAAAACACAGATTTTGATTTATGGTAATTGTTTCAGGGTTGCGCTACCAACTATTTTGTGATTTTGCAACTTCAAAAAATTGTTCTTAGCAAGAATAAAAGTTATTTTATATTTCACCTTACTTTAAACTATCTATGCTGAATTAGGGAGCATCCATAGTCAAAAAATGTTCGTTAGCTACATAAATCAAATTACTTGTTAAGTATCCCATAAGTATCATCCACGGGTATTCATCTAAATCTGTGAATTGTCCGCCATAAATTCGATCTCCGTTTGTATCAATGCCGCACTTGTCCTGTGGCGCCGGATACGAGTCCTCTGGAACCACGGGGTCTATTACTCCAGGAGCAACAGGCGCCTTTGTTGTCCGCGGGGGAGGCACCTGGTGACATAATGAGCTTGTGTAATAAATGAGTTAACACGTTACTGCGGCAAGTAAAATCATAATTCTTCATCCTATGCGGCGGCGGGCCAAAATGCGCCCGCAATGAAATTTCCGTCAGTACATGGCAGGTCTTTCTAGACCCACCAGCACTGGGATAGATTAAATTGCTATAAGTTTGTGGACACACTATGTATACATTTTATGCAATGTATACAGCTGGGATAATAGTTTTGTACTAGCAAGAAGGGTATAGTTTTCTTAGTCCACACCAGCTTAAGTACCGCGTCAGGCCGATATCGACCTGTTACGCAGTGAGCGTGTTAAGGACGACTTAACTCATTTTTGATATTCCAGCTTGTGTAATATTTGAATAAATAGATTATAGAAATACATTAACTTCAAATTTCATTAGACACATTACACTACAGCAATTCATTTGTTTTACTCTACTTCAATCTACGAGTATACCCTTAAGAAAGTTCCTCATACATACATACATAGAAAGCATACATTTTACAATAGAGTTATTCTTACCGTAGTAGTAGGCCTCGTAGAGGGAATGGGTCCGCAGCAGACCCGTGGCACGTAGCCCTCGAACCCGCACTGAGACTGTCTAAGGAAACTGACGACAGAACTTGGCAAGGGCCGAGTCTCAAACGCGCTGACTAGTTCCTTGCAATCGTACAGCGAAACACATTTGCTCGTAACCCCGAGTGGCGTCTTGCATGATTCTGAAACTGTGAAATAAATACGTTTAAATATGCCATTTTGTTTAATAAATAATACATGAGAGGAAGAAATGCAATCTTGTAAGCTAGTGATGTTACCCTGTTTTACACCTAATCTCAAAGAAAGCGATAAATCTTACTAAATTATATTAATAAGTCCTAAATAATCTTCTAGATTCTATATTATTTAATCTATTTATAACAAGTTATTTTTCATTTTTATTTGCATCCGAGCCAAAATTATTTATGATCTAAATGTTACGGAGAATCTATCATACTTTAAATTTCTTCTAGTTTAACAATAAACGTAGATTTATACTACTACTAAGAAAGAGATTTGTGACATAAATGTCTATGATTTGTGGCCATAAAATACTGCATCTTATTACCTAGTATTATTTCCTACTATTTTCCTTATACAATCAATTTAATAGCTGTATACAATGATCTCAGTGCTAGAATACCATGTTTTGACATTTATTACGATATTCCCAGCATCGAGAGATAACTTTTGTTCGACATTGGATTGGACAAGCTACATGTTATGCATCCCTGGTTTTTAACTTCTGTGAAATACCAAACAAAAACAGAGGAATAATACTTTTAAATGATGAAAATATCTCGTAAAAATGCAATTCATCGTATTAAATACTGCTAAATCTAGATCTGCTTATTTTCCAAACGGGTTCAAATTGCATTTTGTAGTATTCTCAACATATTCAATTAGCGTATACTAATCGTGAGTGGAATCTTTATTTTGTAGAGGTTATTTATGGCAACACGAATATAAGGAAAATCTATCTTAAGCGAAACAAAGTTAAAACTTGCTTGCATGAGTTGTTTTATTGTAACTGAGTAATAACCTGTTTTTTGTCAAGACAATGTAGATTTGTATTAGCTAAATGATGTTTAAAGTCGACTTGATAGTTATCAAATTTATTGATAACAAAGAAACAATGGTCTTGCTTTTTACAGTTTTTACAGACGGTGTAATATCAAGTTTATTCACCGTTTTAGTTTGATTGCTATAACATAAGTAAGACGGTTGCTATTAGCAAGTCGTTTCGAACAAGAAACAGGAAAAAAACATCCACAATGGCATGATCGAGACACAAGCACGTTACATCGGAATCCTGTTTCTATATTCTACTGCGTTTTGGCTCGACAAAAATTAATTTCTTAGCATCTATTATAACTTAAAAAAGCAATACAAATATAACTGGTTTCGTTGTAAATATAACGAGTATTATTTTAATGTCGGAAAACTTCATCTTTGACCTTATGTGAAGATAAAACACGAAGTCATCTTAAATTGTATTAACCTCACTTACCTACGTAACTCCACAGAAGGGACAAACACAATACAGCTATTTGACACTTCATGTTTATTACTATTGCACTAAGTTTTTAATTACAATTCACTAACATCACTTTTAATTGTATTAAAAAAACTTTGATATGTATAAAATTACAAGACGGCACGAGGAGCCACGTTAGTCCGCTATACTACACTGGTTTCTAGAGGTCAACTTCACAATATTTATATCAAGTCAAGATTCGCTTAAGTACAGTCAGCAAATGAATTTGAAAATATCATTGAAGACGTAAATTTTAATGACAAACAATATTTTTCAGTGTTTTAAGAGTTTCAGAAATGTTTAATTATTTAGCATTGATGCATTTAATTGGTAAAAATAAACAAAGAAATAAAAAACAATTGTTTAATCGTGAACTAAATTTCTTATCTATTAGTAGTTTAACAGTTTTTATAGTAACCAAAACAGCATAAAACTATAGATAACTGCTACCATAAAAAACTAAAACTAATAAAGGGTATTTAATTATAGACCTAGTCACAATGTTTTTTAACAAACTGTTTGACCCCGTCTCGTAAGGATGACATACATTTTTTTTTTATTTTTTTAACAATAAAAAATAAAGTGTCACTGAGTGATAATTTAGTTTTCAAATAGTTAAAGAATTTTCAGAATAAATCTAGTAATTTTTGGGTTTACTCGTTACATACAAAAATATAAATCTTTCCTCTTTTGGTAAAATATGAATATAGATTTAAAAAAAATGAAAAGGAACATACAGACGAACTGGGTACCTCCTTCTTTTGGGAAGTCGGTCAAAAAGTTTATAAACTAAATTCAAAGTTGTGAAACATGTTTTTGTAAATTTATTTTTCTATTTGTTTAATTAATTTGCAGTCTGTATACATGGATATATACACAAATATGAGTGTATTTATTTCTATCTGGTTTGTTTGCATGCGTCATTTGTGGTTTTACCAGTTTCTGTGGGACATGCTAGTACAGAAATAATACAAGCATTTTCCTTTAATAATTTAAACTGAATTTTATTGTTTTTGGTTGATTTGCGTTACAGTTTACTGCTTAATGTGGTTGAAACGTTTTATTCTACTACTAACGCCATCTATATATTCCCGTGCGGCTTCATCCGCATGAAACTATGAAATTTTTATATTATTATATACATTTGTCAAATTATCAATAGCAAATGTCAAAATGACATGACATGACAAACCTTGGCAATCTTGCTTCCATGATGTTGGCAGTAACTTATGGTCTCTTACCCACATTTTAGTTTTTATCTAAAATATTTACCTCCTTAGTTTAATGGCATTAAAATATATACAGCCTAAAGATTGACGTAAGTGTTTTTTATTAAGAAAAGAATTGTTTAAAAATATGCTGTAATTGCTGACATCTTAGGCAACAAAGAAGTGTGTGTTTACGCTTTATTATAATAGTATAGATAAATTCGTCACTAGAGGTTATGTGATTTATCACTTAAAACAATAACTGTGATATAATTCAACTATCAGTAAATTTAGTAAATAGCAAATACATGTGAGTCTTCATTCACATCTGTGTTATTTACTCTAAATACCGCTGTAATCGACCCAGTGCCCAATCAAGCAATTCGTTCACAAGTGGGGCGCAATTTCCTTCTGCAATTCGGTTAAGGATTAACGACATTAACTTTCATGTCTCGTCTGCTAATTGCGTTTGGATCCCCAGTTCCTGTGTCATTTTATTATATACTTGTTACCGAGCAAATCGTCTATTGAGAATTAAGTACATTACATTTCTATGAGAAAAATCTGCTAAGTTCATGTATGTAGTCTATGTAGGTACCATATACCATTGGAAATTACTTTGATAATTATATCTATAAAGACTTCACGCACTCATCTATACTTCTATACTAATATTATAAAGAGGAAAGATTTGTATTTTTGGATGTATTGAAATAACTCAAAAACTACTGGGCCGATTGCAAAAATTCTTTCACCTTCAGAAAGCTATGTTATAAGTGAGTAACATGGGC